TTAAATGCTTGAAATAGTTTTGGCCTTAAAGCAACTGCCTCCCTTCATTGTGGCAGTTGTATTGCCCTGCTGCCTTTATACATTTATATAAAGATGTTATCATCTGCCAATACCTGCCACTCTAACTACTGTATATATTGTGCACAAATACGGCAGTGTCAAAAATGTGTTGTCAGGGTTTTCAAGGGGAGATAAATGCTTGATTTAGGATATACTTCTTGATTTCCTTTTTACTCTAGTGTTTTATCTACATAATCACACCCCTCTTGTTTGATTGTCTTCATGCTCTCACATCAGATGTGAAGCAGATCGTATTATATAATCATGATCCAAATTTAAGTTATTATAAACATCTGTTAAAATCAAGAATATTTATTGTTTGCTGTGCGTATGAAGGAATTCTGTTAACGTCAGTATTGCATTTGCAGTTCAAATGTTAAGGCGATGATTAAGCTTTGATAATAGAACACTTTGTTCTGGCTCTTTGTCATGCTCTTTACTTTTGAACCTATTGCGCATCACAAAATTCCTCTCATGATAATGTTGAACCGTATTTACATATGCTGTGATCTGAATACGTGCATTTATGGTCATATATTGTCTGTAATATGGAGCTGCAGCAGACATATCAGATCAGAGTTCTTTGATCTTTGGTCCTGCTGCAGGTACCCCACTCAGTCATCCCAGCAGACATTTGCTCTCTGCAGGGCTCTTGTCCACAGAGGCCCCTCCCACAGCAAGCACAGGAGAAAGCTCAGCCTTGTGGTTTCTGGGCAGGGAGGCAGGGCTGGGAAACACAGGCTCCTTTTATCCAAAGCAGCCAGCCCCTTCGCAGGCCTTAACTTCCAGCCCAAAACTCGCAAAGAGGACCGATGATGGGATGTAGACCCTAGCTGTGTGAAAATGCAGTACAGTCGGGAGTATGAATGGGAGGGAATCGGCCAGGCTTTGCTTTTAGTGTTGGCAAACAAGCACATAAATAGCAAGGTTGACAACCAAGTGGGTTGGGGGGGTGGAGGGGCAGTGGTGTAAAGAGCAGTTCAGAGGGAGCAGTCATGGCCAGTACAATGTTTGAGCCAGGGTGGTGGGGGAGGGGAGGCACACAGAAGTGAAGCCCTGCAAAAAGTTTGGAATTTCAAGCACTGGGCTGTAGCAGTGTTTGAGTTGATGAAACTCGTGGTAATGTGTTTGAGCTGTTTTAGTCTTTGCACTGTTTGTGTGAAGATAGACTATAAGATGGGAAAAGTTTGAAAGACAGATTCTGCTGTTTTCATAGTTCTTTAGCATCCTGCAATAGCAAGTAAATAACATAATAGTATACTTGGGCATAACAATTAGGGATGTCCCGATCACCTTTTTTTGCTCCGATCATTTGATTTTGACAATTTGCCGATACCGATTTTTCCCGATCCGATCTTTATGCAATGCATTAAGAGAAAAAAAAGAAAAAAAGCATTCAAGTTGTCCCTTAAG